TTCAAAATTACAAAAATCATTTTAAACTCTTGATTTACTTACAGATGACCATATAATTTGTTGACTATTTAATGTGATTAGATGTCATTGTTGTGGTTACATTTAAATTAATTTCTTTTGAAAAATAAAAAACGTATTTGAAATTCATAAATAAATATTAAATAATTCACAAAAAAAATACATACCAAAATATACATTACATCCAATATAAAAAACGCAAAGTTTGCCTGCAAAAAAGTGTAAAAAAAATCATTAATCATTATATGCATACAAATAACTCACAATACTTTATTTATATCTGTGTATTTGCACAGGTTGAATACTAGTATATATAAATAAGTGGATTGAAAAGGAAATCATTAACAGCGTTTTATCATTTATGACTTTAGTACCGGCTGAAAATTGCGTTAACGGCGGCGGATATGGCGAAAAAACGAGAACGCCGAACCGGGAATCGCGCCGGCCCCCAATCCGAGCCGGACCAGCCAGCCGGCGCCTACAGCTCTTCCTCCTCGCGCGTTAGTCGGGATCGCAAGCTTACAACCACCACCACCACCATCGCCGCCGCCGCCGCCACCACAATCCTATTCCTAATCGTAGTTCCCGCCATTTCAGTTATCGTGTACCGTATGGTTTACGCTCCCAATACCCCACACCCATCGTATGTCTACAGCCGCAACCTCGTCAGTAAGGATATTAACTACCGGCAAGTTCTCGATGTGCGCTCACTTATTAATCTACTTTCGTAAAGAATTTGTGATGATGATTATATTTTTCCTCTGTTATAGATTCATTTTGTCAATTTGTGAAATTTTTGTGATGATTCTGTAACTGTGTTAAGAAATTCAGGAGCATATGAAGACATCGGAGAATTCGAGTCGACGGAACTTTAAGAATCCTGTGCTTGCCTACATTACTCCATGGTATCTGCTTTCAATTTTTCTACCTTATTTAGGAATAGAAGCAGCTTTTGTTGTTTTATCAAGTGCAATGACAAATTCTATTGTTAGTTGTTGAGGTATATTGAAATGGCAACATTTTACATTAGCCCTCCAGTAGTTTATGGTGATGTGTGATTAGTGAAGAAATCTATGTTACAAACTATGAACCAGTGAACTGGTTTTGGTTGGATTTCTTCTTTGGTTACTGATGGTTTCGCTTTCGGAACTAAATGGTTGAAAGAGTTCCTTTATTTTTTATTTTTTTTCCTTTTCCCAGGAACTCTCAAGGGTATGACATGGCCAAGAAATTCAGCAACAAGTTTAGTCATCTTTCACCTGTGTGGTATGAATTAAAGAGGTACAGCACATAGCCATGTTATTTTAGACTTGGCAAATCCTCAGGATTGGGGAAGTTTGGGAAAAAGACCTTTCGGTTTATTTGCTTTATTTTGAATGTATGTTATCCAGAAATGAGAAAACTATGTTTTGTTCTTGTTTATACTGTTAGTGGGTAGTAGGTTATTTTGGTTTGCCTTGATGTTGATGGTCAATGGATTTATATTATAAGTTGTATCTTATGCTTTGTGTCGTGTGGTTTTTCCTGGGCATGTGAGATTGACATGTCCGTTACCAAAGTATATCATGTGGTCTGTAAAACTGTGTTCACCTAGTTCTGTATAATTGCTGCCAGCCAAGGTATAAAAATGAGTTTGGAGGGAAGACATAATGCCGATAAAGGATGGATTACGGAGATCAGAAGATTGGGGAACTCTCAGGTTATATATTTATTCAGACATTTATATTATGTTATTATGTTAACAGTTACCTTGGAGCCAGTTGCTTTTGTTCTCAACTGTTTATAACAGTGTTTGATGGAAGACTTTGTTAATTCGTATACTTCATCTACTTTAAGGAATGATGGTCTACTAAATCTGGTGTCTTTATATAGAATATTTATCAGATTGGGGCACTTGTACAATTTAGATTTGGGTTTATGACTGAATGATTTATTTATATCTCTAGTTTGATTGTTCCTTTCTCCGTTTGGGTGAATAGATGTTACCTAGGGTAGTTTTGGAGGCGAATCCCGTGGATCTGCTGAAAAAGAAAAAGCAGAGGGATAAAGCAGTTAAACTCATCATTGCCGAATGCAAGTAAAAACTATTGTGTTCTCTTCATTCTCTATGTATTTTCTGTTCTTTTTCTTGGTTCACTGTCATCGTTTATAATTTTCTGTTTATGTACTCGAAGAGAAATGGAATATGATGGTATCGTACTAGAGTCATGGTCAAGATGGGCAGCATATGGTATTTTGCATGACCCAGACATGCGGAATATGGTAAGACTGACCTATGTTAGTTCGCTTTCAATTACACCACTTGCTAGTAAAGTATAAAACCTCTCATGGAATCAATTTTTAATTTGCAAGCTCAGGCTTTGGAATTCATCATGCAACTCGGCCAAGCCATGCATACCGTGAACTTGCAATTAGTGTATGTAATAGGTCCACCTCACTCGGATAAGTTGAGTGAATATGACTTTGGTCCTGAAGATCTTCAAAGATTGAGTGATGATGTTGACGGTTTATCCCTCATGACTTACGACTTTTCGAGCTCTCAGAATCCCGGACCGAATGCACCTTTAAAGTGGATCCAGTCGACCATGAAGCTTCTCCTTAGTGCCAGAAATGGCGAGCGTCGGAAATTGGGCAAAAAGATTTTTATTGGCATCAACTATTATGGGAATGATTTTGTTGTTTCACAAGGTACGTACCATTTGGAACATTATACTGAGCTCAACGAGTTTAATCTGTGACATCCTTGATTAACGTTACATGAGCTTGTTGAACCACCATTATGACAAGCATCTACTTATTCATTTTTTCTGTCTATATTAAGTGATCCTGTTTGCCTAAGCAAATAGTCTATGCAAAGGGTTGTCTGGCTGATATCTTCAAATATTATTTAAGCTCCTACATATTAAAAGATGTCTTTAGACGTTAGGGATTTGCAAGACCACAGTATATTTATGTTTAAAGAACAAAAAAAAAATCAACTTTTAATTAGATGTTAGTAATGAGTAATGACGGTCATGTAATAAAAATGGTCAATTCTATTTTAAACGAGATCGTATTTCCTTGAAAAAGAAAAAGAGATGGTTCTTCCACACCTTTTCTTAGAACAGTTGCAAGGTTTAGAGAAACAATCACAGAAAACCCATAGAGCTCTTCAAACCACCAGGAGAACAGGCTCTTACAAGCTCAATTTTCACCCGAACATGATATTGATTTCAGGTTTAGGTGGTGGACCTATCGTTGGAAGGGAATATTTGTCTTTATTGGAGCAGCACAGGCCACAGCTGCACTGGGAGAGCAACAGTGCTGAACACTTCTTCTTGTACACAGATAAACAAAGCGTCGAGCATGTAGTTTTCTACCCATCACTAATGTCAATCTCACTAAGACTCAAGGAAGCTTTTTTGTGGGAAGCTGGCATCTCAATCTGGGAAATCGGGCAGGGACTTGAATATCATTTTGATATTTTGTGACCTTTTTGTTTATGTCCTTGTTTGTTAGACATATGTGCCTGATCGATAGCATTGTATCTGTACTATTAAGTTTCTTATGTTTCCGTTTGGACTATGTGAACTACTTTCTGATAGAACATTTGCTCATACTCTTAAGTGCATGTTTGTTTGGTGGGATGGGATTGGAGAAAAATAATCCAAACTTGTAGGATTGTATTGTTTGGATTATTTTTATCCTGTGTTTGTTATGTTGGATTAGTGTAGGATAAGTTAGTTGTTAAAAAAAAGGGAAAATTGAAGTTAACCCACATAAATGTTGGAAAGTACAAAATTGCCCCTAAGAAATCAAATGTAATGGGCGTCCAATTTGAAGAAAAATCAAGACTAAACTTCAGGCACAAAAACAGATTGCCCGCTTTGAAGGAAATCAAATACAGATTGCGTCCAACTTGAAGGAAATTGCCCCGGTTCCTTTTTTTTTGGAAACCCCATGTGGCTGAGACGATCCAAAACCAGAGCTCA